ACACTTATCTTCAATATTCCATTTTGACTTTAATCTTCTATTATTTTTCTTCTCATTTAGGTTGTCTTTTAAGTTATCCCTATGGTTCAACTTTACCATCTTGGTTTTCATTTATGCATAAGAACTGTGCACCATTTGTAAACATTTATAAAATTAAATAAAACTACCCCTAAACTATTTCATGCAAGAGCCTATTTGTCCGCTCAAAGAAGTATCCATTTACCTCCACTCTTTGTTTCTTCTTTCTTGGTCCAACAAAAGGTCACGAATAAAGAAAGAACTGGGATTTAAAACCTGATTAGGTTTTTTGAAAGTTTAAAAATATCCCATTTTCTGCAGCCGTAAACATTTCCTCCTTTAACTCTCATACATTATTCCTCCTTTCTACAAAATAAGCTGTATTTGCTATAATCTGTGTTTGCTTTGAATACTTATCTCTCAGTTGTCCACTGAGATGGGATCTGGTTCGATGGGATCTGGCTCGATGGCTCCTGCCTAAAACCCTTCTCTTGACAGGAGCCCTCCAAAGATGCCAGCCAATGCCCCAGAGCTGTCACTTACACACCAAGTTTCTTCAACACACTTCGTGATGGCTGTCTAGTCTTGGTGATTTTTCTTCACCTAGTCTGCTGATTAGGTCTAGAATATCCTGAGCACTTCCCATTTCCTGATTTTCTCCAATGTATTTATTGCTTGAGAAAGTCTGAGTGTGGAAATATTACTCAGCAAAAGCAGAAGCACAGAATTCATTTACATTGTATATTCTTTTTATCTCTGAGTATGTGTTTGGTATGATGTAAGCCAAGTGCTTCTACAATTCTCATTTCACAGTATTTAAGATTCTTTCATTATTGTTTTAGAAAACCATTGCAAGGATTTTTTCAAATTCATTTTTGGCTATCTCATGTTTAGTGTGCCTGGGATCTGTCACCCTTCATGGGTTCAATTTAATAACCTGACCCTTCAAATATTCCTTATTCATTGCATGTATCTAAGCATTCTTTTTAATTCCTTTATTTTTTCCTCTGTATTAAGTGTTTTCAAAGAGTTTGAATACAAGAACTTTATTTTTCTTATCATAAGTTCCCATACAGAATTTCATATAGTTCCCACTTTCTTATGGGCAATTTGATTTGTTTAGATAATTCTTTCCTTTTTTCCCCTTATATGTCTTCATTGAATTCTTTTTGAGAACTGATTAGGTATCTCATTAGGTAGGTCTTTCTTCAGAGTCCCCTCTCCTGTTAGATATTGAATTGAATTAGATATTGAATTGAATTAAACTGAATTGAACTGAATTGAATTGAAATATATATTATTCGTCATTGTATGCTCCAATCTACATTGCATCTGCTAGGCACTCAGTGAAGATTTCCTGAATAAACGTATGATACCAACAGTTAACAATCACGGGGCATTTATTAGGTGTTATGTTCTATACTAAGCACTTTATATGCATCATATTATTAACTCTCAGGCACTAGACTGTAAATTTCATTGGCAAGGAGTTTGTCTATGCATCCCTAGCACCTAGAGCAGTACTAGCACACAGGAGGTGCTCACTAAATCCTGCCACATAGATAAAGTGAAAAACTTCATGAGGTAGGTGCCATTATTATTATTCATGCTTTACTCATAAGGAAACTGAAGCACAGAGAGGTTCGATCACTTTCTGAAGTCCCACGGTTAGTATATGTGAAGCCAGGACTTGAATATATGTAACCAGGATTCATCACTAATAAACTCAATACCTACCTACATTAATGCAAACAAAATTAATTCTATTTATCTTAATAAATAGTATGTAATATCACAAATAAATATTGTGAGCAACAATTTTTCAAGAAAAGATGTGAAATGATGGGTTAATAAATGCAGTAGTGCCCCCGCTCCTTATCCACAGTTCCACCTTTCTTAGTTTCAGTTATTCACAGTCAACCGCAGTTTGAAAATGTTAAATGGAAAATTCCATAAATAAACAATTCATAAGTTTTAAATTGTGTGCCATTTTGAGTAGCAGGATGAAATCTCTCACAGCCCTGCCCTGTCCCTGTCCAGGACATGAATGGTCCCTTTGTCCAGTCTACCCATGCTGTATATACTCCCTGCCCATTAGTCACTTAGTAGCCAGCTCGAGTATCAGATGGACTGACTGTCTCCATATTGCAGTACTTGTACTCAGTAATCCTTATTTTACTTAATAGTGGCCTTAAAGCCATTCACATAACTTTTACTACAGTATACTCTTATAATTGTTCTATTTTATTCTTTATTAATCTCTTATTGTGCCTAATTTATAAATTGAACTTTATCATAGATATGTATTTACAGGAAAAAACATAGTACATATAGAGTTCAGTACTATCCGTGGTTTCAGGAATCCACTGGGGGCCTTGGAACTTACCCTGTGGATAAGGGGGGACTACTGTAATCATATAAGTTCCTCACTATCTATGTAAGTAAAAACCTGATTTCTCTTTAATCAATGTCTTCTGATGTGTTTGTACAAAATAGTTAATGAGGATTTCAGGACTTTTGATAAGTGAGTGCTTTTTATTTTCCAGAGTATTTCTGGGTTTAAGTAATCTGTTTTGTCGATTCTTTTTAAAATAAGAATGGCACTAATAATCATTTATTAGGGCTTCATTATAATCGTCTATAGAGTTTATAAGGATTCTGCTTATAAAGAGGGAGACTTATATGTTTCTCAAATATCTCTGCCACTTCATTTTCTTGAAACATTATCATTAGTACGTCATTCTTTAGGGTTTTGATTACTTCTATATTTAACAATTCATTAATAAAAATAATATACCCCTTTGAAAAGGACAGTTCCTTAAAATCAATATTAGCTGTCTCCTTAAATTTTTATCAGCCTACACCCTAGTGGGAGCTAAGTGATATTTAGAAAAGAGCAAAGCCTTTTGGGACTGGTACATAATGGTTCCGAAGCCATGGTTGAATAGTACAAAGAGATGCAGAAATTAGAAACAGAAACGCCAAAGGTGTAGCCCCGCAGGAAGGAGGGAAGGGAGTAAGAAAGCAAGGGAGGGAAGAAATTGGGAAAAAAAGAAAAGAAAAGAAAAACTTGACTAGAACTCTGCTATTCACCTCGGAAAAGTAACTTAATCTCTGAGAACTTCAGTTGTTCCACCTATAAAATGGGGGTGATAAAAATGACTTCCTCACAGACACTTTAATAGATCTCAATATGCCATGTAAACTGTACAGCATGATGCAATATATGGCATGGTGTTTTACTTGACATTATTTGCCTGTAATCAGCCCATTTGTGTATGATATAAACATTCATTTACAAAGACTGTCAGCAGCTTCAAAATATAGACCCATGAATCATGGCTACCTTTTTTGACTGGAAGCATTTCTGATATTCAACCCAAGGAACCAATTCACAATTTTTAACAGCCTTTGTGTGCCTACAAGCTCAGAAAGCTTACTGTGTGCTCCATGGACTAGAATTCTGTAAAACCTCTGTTTAAACAAGGAAGCCTCTTTTAAGTCCTGTTTCAGTCTGGTGCCTTTGGTCAAGGTAGAAACTAAAATTGAAAACAGATAGATGTTTTACATTTAAAGGGGTTTAACATAAATGTTATTAAGCCATTTCATGGACGATTGCACAAATATCTTTTGCAAACTTGGTACACGTGAGCACATATACAGTAACCATTAATGTCTTCTAGAGAAATAAGGTGCAGATCCAAAATTTTAAGCAGCTACCTCGAATCCTCTCACTGGAAATAAAATGTAATGGCTTTAAGGGAATTGCTCTAATAATATCATGGCATCTGCAATGGCTGGCCAGAGCAGAGCAGAACTGAGTATATGTCATCATAAGTCAATTTAACAAGAAATAAGCTTCCCCCTGGAGAATCTAAACTCCCTAGCCTCCCACAAAGAAAATTGAATTTTGGAGGTCACACCTTGGGTAGGTTACCAGAGGGAGAAGCTTAACATTCTTGTCATAAGCTCAGGGAGTTTAATGTTATTCTACCAACAAATCGCTACCAAAGATCTGCTCCCCCCTCCACCCTCCACTCAAAAATTATAACAAATGCTTATAGTCCCCTAGGAAATGGAAAATGATTGTGACACTTAAGATGCCATGGACTACGCCGGATACAATCACGTTCAAACATCAAGTTTTGAATCGCGCAGTGAGGAGCAGGGTCGATACTGAGGGCACGCACTGGGGAGGAGAGGAGAGCTGGTGAAACTGTGGTGGGGGTCAAAGCGAGTCAGAAAGACCAACAGAGAGCTTTAAGCTGAAACTGACTCTTTAGCCAAATGTAAACCAACCGAACTGCTGTTACTGGAGAGAAAAGCAAGTCTCCAAGTCAAGCCCAGGCGAAGCCCTAGCTCCGTGGGTGTACGGCGCCTCAATCAGTCGCGGGAGTGGGTGGTCGGAGGGCCTGGCGCGTTCTCGCAATGACTGGAGGCGCCCCAGCTCACTGCACCTTGGGCAGCGGCTCCGGGTGGGCTCAGCCAGGCCACGGCCGCCGCCCAGCCCTCGCCCCCGTCCGCCCCGCAGCAACATGTGGGGCGCTTCCACTCCGTCGCCCGGGAACTCCCTCCAGCTGGAGTTCCTGGTGGACACACGCTTGGCCCAAGAAAGATGCTGAATTACTCTTGGGAAAGATTCCTCTAGCGTTGAACTTGGCAGCTCCTGACATTTCCGAAATCCCACCCTCTGAGCGCCAGCACTACACACACGCACACGCACGCCCCTCTGGACCTGCCTAGGCTGCGCGCAGTGCTGATTGCCCACTCCGGGATAAAACACCAGAGCGGGATGAAGAGGCTAGGATCCCACCTCCGCTGGCCCCTGGGGACGAAAGGGTTGTGGGGAGTGCTATCCTAGCAATGGGTAGCTCCAGGGACTAAGCCCACGCCCGGGTTGGCCCTGGCCGCGCTTTAGTTCGGGCCGCTGGCACCAATTCAGTCTCCTTTTGTGCTCTCCCAGGAAGCCCGCCTCTACTCACCCCGGCTGCTCGCGGATTCCGGCCGCCAGCGGCAGCCCGCTGCCCCATCCCACGAACACTGCGGCGCCCCCAGAGTGTGCAATGCGGAGCCCCGCCAGCGCGCGGCCGGAGCCGGGGATGCGGGAGGGAGCGAAGGAGGGGGGAGGAAAGAGAGGGAGAGAGAAGGCAGCGGAGAAGGGAGGGGGCGGCGGGGGGCGCCCGCGCCACTCCCACTCGCGCCGGGCACTCGCTGCCGCCTGCTGCCTCCCGCGGCCAGCCCGACCTCGCCGGCCGCGGGACCAATCAGCGCGCCGGGGAGAGGGGGGCGAGCCCTCCGCGGGATGCGCTCATTGGCCGGGCGCGCAGACCTAACTCCGAGAGGGGCGGCCCGAGTGCCAAGTCTGCAAACTCCCGGCCTCGGGAGCCAACAGCCCGGCACTCATGCTCTGGCTCGCTGAGTGTGTGAGTCGAGTCCCGCGGGCGGAATTTGAGACCTGCCGGTGAAGCCCGTTCCCAGTGAGCGTTCAAAAAGAGCAGTGTTTTCTCAGGCTGCAGCGATTCCTTCCTGTGAGCGACCCTTTGCGCCTCTCGCCTCACTCTAGCTAGCAGCCGAGTGATGGAAAGCCTGGCAGTGGGAAATGGCTCCAGCCAAATCTTACTCCCCGCCACCCCCAGGGCCGCGCGAGACCCGTTGCACTTAAGAACCGGGACTGAAAAGCAAGTCGAGCTCCGAACACAGGGCAGACCTAGACCTTTGCAATAGAGGATCCAGACTGCGGGCCTGACGGGAGGGGGA